GCCTCCCAAGTAGCTGGGACCACAGGCGCCTGCCACAACGCCCGGCTATTTTTTGGTCGCAGCCGTCATTGTTGTTTGGCGGGCCCGGGCTGGATTCGAACCCACCACCTTGGGTCTACGTGGCTGGCGCCTTAGCCACTTGAGCCACAGGCGCCAAGCCAGCAAACACCTTTGTGATCTTCATGGAGCTTAAAGTCTAGTTGAGGAAACTGGTAGTAATATAATAATCTCATAATATAATCTCAGAAGTATGTGGTGACAACAGTAAGTGCTATGAAAGAAAAGGAGCAAAAGACTGCCTGAGAGAATAATTTCTCTCTTGTAAAAGTGTTTTACTATGGAATTTTAATGTGAATAAGATAGAAAAGAATAATGAACTCTCACCAGCCCATCACCTGCCTTCAACAATTACATATCAGTATTTTGTTTCATTCCCCTCCATCCTCTCTCTCCCAACTAAAGTATTTGAAAGCAAATCAGACATCACATCATTTCACATACCTTTATATGCATTCGTAACAGATAAGGCTATTTTTAGACGTACTCATAATACCATTATTATGTCAATTTAGTTTTTCTCCTCCCTCCTAGATATGTATCAGCCTGAGCAGCGTACTGACTAAATCTGATTTGCCATAGAGTGGGTTTATGGTGATTCGAAAGGGCCTCTTGGTAAAAACAAAACATCTCTCCCCTTATCAGCATGTTCATGCCAGAAGTTCTTCATATCTCTTTTCATGTTTTGGAAGAATGTCTGATTTAAGTAACATTTTCATGTGAATCTGTTATTTAAAAGAAATTTAAATAAAATAAAATTTAGAGTGAGGGTATTAATTATTCAAGAGATATAAGAGATCCTGTTGGGGGTTGGAGAAGGGATGAAGAGGACAAGAAGGATTTGGAGTTATTTCACAGGGAGAGGGGAGAGAATAAGGCCGGGAAGAGCAGTGAGAGAGTCCGAGACCAGCTTGGCATACTTGCTGTTGTGCAGTTTTTCTTGGGGTCAAAGAGCAGTTATGTCTTGAGATATTCAAGCCTTAGGATTTCCAAGTTCCTTTTTTTCCTCTACCATTTATAGGGAATTAAGCAGTTGGCTTAATTGTAAGGAGCTCCATTCTCAATATTTTTATTAATTCAGATATCACTGCAGTAGTTGGTGACACTTCTAGGGAACTGTAGCATTATGCAATTATATTGCTGTTGATATGTTTTCTGCTACAATAGGCATTTATGGGCTAATATGGGCACCTAACCACTGTTAACAGCTTTGTTCATACAGAAAAGAGATTTTGTTTCTTGTGAAGAAAAGAACATTTGTGGTATATCCACATAATAGAATATTATAGAGCCATAAAGTGAAATGAAATACATATCTTGTCATGGAGGAACCTTGAAAATATTAAAGGCAGGAAAGAAATCAGTCACAAAAGACTATAAATTGTATGACTTCATTCCTATGAGATGTCCAGAATAGGCAAATCTATAAAGACAGAAAATAGATTAATGGTTGCCTAGGGCCGGGAGGGTATGAAGAAATGGGGAGTGACTAATGATGGATAAAAGACTTTTTTTAGGGTGGATGGAAATGTTCTAATATTGCTAGTGGTGATAGTTGCACAACTCTCTGAATATACTAAAAACCACTGGATTGTATACTTTAAATGAGTAAATTGTGTGGTCTGTGAGTTATATCTCAATGAAACTGTTAAAAAGAACAGAACTGAGTTTATCCGATGGGCATGGTCCTTCTCTCTGTCCTTTGCTGCAGACTCCACCAATGCCAGCTTTTTGGTTCAGGGGACGCTTCTTTTAAAGGAGTGGTACAGGCACGTTGTCTGTCTTTGCAGCCTCTCTGTGTGCCACAGGGGGACATGCGACCTGCCTGAAATAGATAGCCAACATTTACCAGAGCAATGAGCTTCTCAAAGAAAGGTATCTCACAGCAAGTTAATTTACAGTTCCAATCTTTCCAGTTATTTTGTTGAGAAACATTACTTGGGAAGTAGTACTTCCTGAAGTGGCTAAATAGCACTGCACGTTTGGCAGAGTGGAATCCTACTCTGAGATCAGAAATTGTGGGGTATATTAACTGCTTAAACTATTTTTAGGTGGTATTTTTCTTCCATGCACCATTATGGTGCATATTACTTGTGGCCTACTGGAGTGTGGTAACCCAGAATGACACCTGCATTTGTCTGTTTTT